TACTATTTTGGACCATTGGTTTAACACTATCAGACAAGAAGCTGTATACTATTTTGGACCATTGGTTTAACACTATCAGACCTTAATTGAAGGACATTGGTAATTTAAATGTTGTGTTGGTTTTCTTGTTGGGGCTGGGTACTCTTTGTTGAAGCTGGTAGGGTAATCACTGTTTTTCAAAGACGTTTTCCAAATGCTCCATTTGAAGTGCAAGTACCTATTAATGTGTGTGGGTTTTCTATATAATGTAGTGGTAATGGGATCATCTTGTCCTAAAATAAGGATGTTCAGAAATTCTATATTTCTATTTCCTTGTATGTGGATGGTGAATTATGTTTTAAAGTTGGTGGAATTTAAGTGTTGGAGGAATTTTTGAAGAGTTGTTTCTCCATGTGACCAAATTACAAAGATGTTAATGTCATAGAGCTACCATATCTTGGATATAAAGGTACATGTCTGTAAGGTTCTGGTTTCAAATTTTTCCACAGAAATGTCACTGAGGGCTGAAAAGAGCATCAAGCTCATAATAAATATAATGTTTGCCTAAATATGCATGTTTTTTTACAGTCAGTAATGGTTACAATGGATAATGTTTCATGTTAACTTGCTTACATTTATGCTTCAGTTTTGCAGGAGTAACCATATTAGTAAATATAACAATTTTAATAAGTCACTTGCTTTTAACAAATTAATGTTTGTTTTTATTAAATATACAAGTGTTGTATATGCATTTTTGGTTACTAACTTTCCAGATAGCCATGATATCCCCTGGGATGAGCTCATGTGACCATTCTCTCAATACTCTACGATATGCTGACAGGTAATCGTGTTTTAATCCATTTCATTTTAACTTTTATATGTACATTAACAGCTGCTGTGTTTATAGACCCTCCTCAATATTCTAATATGAGTAATAAAGGAAATACTCAGTGTATCAGATAAACAAAAACTAAAAGTGTTTGACATGAAAATAACAAAAAAGTTTTTATAAATATTCATTAACGTGTTAACTCTTACATTGCTGACTCGGCAGATAAATGTTCTTTTTATCCATCCTGCTAATTTTGCTGGTAATGCCAATTCGACAGAGGAGTAACCAACCAGTCAAGTTAACCTAGAAAATCTTTTATTTTTCTTTAATTATCTAGAAACAATATAAACGAGGTTAAACCTTTTGTAATCATACACAAGTCACAATTAGAGATGATGAAATATGAAAGTTCCATCGCTGTCTGAGTCGAAATGTAAAAGCAAACCGATCTTTATCGAAGACAGATAAAAGAAAAGTGTACAGATCTTCCCCATGGATAATTTAGATTAGAAAAAATATTACAGGAAGTGAAAAGTTTCAATAGAAAGAGGAAATTAATAGATATTATAATGTATATTTTTTAACTTTGAAAATGAAAGCTAGCAAGCCCTGTGAGCAGCTTGAAACACAAGAAACTTTAGAAGTGTTTTTTTTTTATTTCCTGACTTGCAAACATAAAATACATATCACTCAACTCACAGTTGTACAAAAAAGGTTTTGGGATGATAAAAACCTGGATAGTATACCATTTAAATCTCTTATGAATTCAGTTGTAAAGCTGAACATAACAGTTGAACAGTTTATGCCACTAAGCCTAGTTTGAATGCAAAATAGGTGTTGAAGAAATTATTGGTATGTTATTAGATTTCATCCGTTAAAGTCGTAATAAACAGACAGTCTTATGGCTGTATCTGCAGAAATATTTACGATCCTACTCTGAAATGATAATAGAAATAGTTTAAAATGTATGTGTAATCAAGCATGTTGATGTCTATTTGATGATAAGAGAGTTTTAATAACTTCTCAACTTGTTTATTTCTGATATCCAGAGTCAAAGAATTGGGGGTTGATAATGCAGACTCATCTCCTAATGGAGAACAGGAAATTTCTTCTCCCGGTGATGATGATTTTGCTCTACTTCGTTCTAGAAATGTGAGTTTCTTTACCGAAGATTTCATCCAGAGCACTTTTAAAATCATTAAAAAAGAAAAGTGAAATTTCTTGAATAGCTGTTTGCTAAGGAATCCAAATAGTCATTGGTTTTTTTAATCTTTCATGTTCTACTTCGACAGAGATGCTGAAAAACAGTGTTGTTTTTATTTCTCAGACCAAAAGTTTGGAGTGTTCTTCTAACGGTAATTGAAATTTGAGAACTGGAACTTTAATTTATATGTGCTTACAAACATTACTTGCACATCCACAATTCAATTTTTATCACCCAAAACATCTGTACAAATTCATTGAGCCAGGGACATTCATAATAATTATATCTATTGCCTTGTTGAAGACATAAGTATTCCCACTTTACTGCCTGTATCAGAAGTTCCACGTTAAATTAACCTGAATAGGTTTGTTTAAAAGTATCAGCTGTGACTCCCAACTCTGGAGGTTGTAACTTTAGGGTTTGACTTGATTTTTTGGAGAAGTGGATATTTTATATAACATTGTGTTTGTTATTATCTAGAACAGCATTTATATGAAGTCCACTATGCATCTATTTTATATAACATTATATTTGTTAATATCCAAAACAGCATTTATACAAAGGGCATAATACATCTTCCAAAATATTTGTACCAATAGCAGCCACCAACATTGAACACCACCTGGTTCTGTTTCAACTTCTTTCTAATCAAATTTGAAAGATACAATTTCTTGAACCTACATGTAAAGCACTTGGCTGAGTGTTTTAAGTATGTGTTTTACTGTGAATTAACCAACCAGAAGTCAATGAAACTACAAACTTTGATAAATGGTGTTTACATTCTGTAGTGTATTGTACATAGCTTTCAGCTAGAAATAAAACAAAAACCATTCAAATCATATTTTTCTCCTATTGTATAGAACTGTGCACTCATTCTTTCATAGAGGTCAGTAATTTAGGCTGAGCATTAATATCATTACAAAAAATTAAATAACTTAGTGCTTTTTAAATATTATTCTCATTAATTTGCTTGAGGGAGAATCACATCCAACAGAGGGAGATTTAAGGGTTTACTTAATAGTGTCCACAGTTTCCCTGTAGTACCAAAAAGTTATTTTTTTTTGTAAGGTGCAATGCTTCATCAAAAATGCATGAGAACATTCAAAGAATTTTTTTTTTAGAGGATGCATAAGCTACTTGAACATTGTATGTGTACTTAATAAAAAGTTCTTAAGATATTCAGATAATCAAAATTCAGCCACTCTGAACTGTAAAATGTGCAAATTTTACAAAATATATAAAAATAGAAGCATCAATTATTCATGAAAAATTTAGAAAAACATGTAATCTATAATTCGGTAGATCAATTAAATGAGGTCTAATAATATTTCACAAAATCGCATATTTCACTCGCATAACAGGTGTGTGTATAATTTTGTGTAAATAATGCTCCGTATCTTCTCTGATGATTGGATAAATTTATTGTTTTAGTGTTCTCGGTTTTGCTAATATTTGTTTTTCTTCTAACATCTTTTCAGAAAGAGGAACTGTCAGATAACCTGATGTCTTTTCACACAGCTGTATCTTTTCTCCAAAGATTGGAAGATGAAGTTTTGGACACACACAAGAATATTACTGAGGTTTGTGGTTTCTAGGTCTGTAGGACATAATTATTGACTTTCATCTGAATCTTGAGAATTAAGTCATGGCTGCAAATCCTTAAAATAAATTATGTTTGTACTTGTTTGCCTTAAAACAGTCATGTATCATCTTCATTGATTAATATTCTTGCATGTATAGGTATATAAACATGTTAGGATTAACATAAACTTTTTTTCTAATTTTGCTGTAAAAATACAAAGTCTGGTTGCAGGACGTAGAATCTTTGCATTGAAATTAAAGCTGTTTTACTTATCTGTTGATTTCTGTTCAAAGGAGGTTTTTGCATGTATAATATCATATCAAAAGCATGTTTTGCAGACTAAAAGTACACAAGTAAAATGTGTCAAAAAACCTTTGAAGTCTTTTTCCCTGACATAATGAAGACAATTTATTAATTCCTTCAAAATATTGTTATTAAATTGCTTTTGATTTACGTATTTCATGTACCATTCTGTAAAATGTTTTAGCAGTACTTTTCGAAGAGTTTTCTTGTGTTGAAAAAACTTGTAAGATTTTTTTTTCTACTTTGGAAAATGCTAATAATTATAAGATGCTGTTTTGTTACTTTGAATCTTGCTAAATGTGTATGATTTTGTAAGATTTTTGATTTGAAAATTGGTACATGTCTAATATGTTTTTTCTTGCTTTAAACATTATTAAGTGCATAAGGTTTTTTTACTTGCTTTAAAAGTTCCTAAATGGATAAGGTGTTTTCTTGCTCTAAATGTTTCTGAAGTGTGAAAGTTATTTTTATGTTTTGAAAATTAATAGTTATAATGGTTTGTTTTTCTGGTTTGAATGTTATATATGTAAAACACATTTGTGTCTTGCTTTTAAAACTGTGAATTTTGTGGGATTGTTTTTGTCTAGTTTTAAGAATGTGCAAATTGTTTTCCTTCTTTGTACACATTACTTTGTGTATGGCTTACTGGTGGCTGTGTAGTAAGTCTGTGGCTTATAATGCTAAAAACTGGGTTTTGATACCCATGGTGGACACAGTACAGATAGCCCATTGTGTAACTTTGTACTTAACAATAAATAAACAAAGCTTAGTGCATAAAAAAAGTTTTCTTACATTAAAAATTACTAAATGTATTAGACAATAAGGCATTTTTTAAATCATATATAGCCTCAGTAATAAAGATAAGAGCAAAATCAGTAACTAAAAGAAATCACTCGTACTAGTGTAACCTACTGTTGCGTATCTGCTTGTTTGTTAATTTCCTGTAGAAATTCTTTTCGAGAAACTTCAGTGATACAAGTCCTTTTTTAATTAAAACTAGTTTATTCTTTCTCGATACAACTTTGCAATACACAGAATTTCCACAGTCAATACATTTGCAATCTTGATAACAAAACACACATTTTATATGACTGTCACTACCGCCCGCTTGACTCAATTATCTGTCTCTATTTATCTATCTGCAGTTATTTACCAGGCTTATATATACTAAAAAAGAGGGCACCTGAAAAAGACTAGAGTTGCCAGGACAATTCACAATCCTTCTAGAAACTCATCACATGTTATCAGCGTCACGTGACTTTCGCTGTCATAACACTACTTTTTCTAGTTTAGAAAGATACACTATGGATCACAGCCAATTTGTTATATCCCAGCACAAAATAGAAGGGATTGGAAGATTATTTGTAGCAGTATTGTTTTAATAGATATGACACTTAAGTAGCTTAAGTTTAGTTTTATAGAAGTATCTTATTTTTGTAATTTTGTTGAATTATGATATGATAGTGATTTTTTGTAATGTTAAAAAAAAGCTTCAAAAAAGAAAATATGAAAAGGATTAATGTGAAACCAAAGTTCATCCCGGAAATTGATGATCCAACATCATGAAACCAAACATGGCGTTCTTCATGTTTTTTGAAGATTTATCTACATAATGATTGTAAACCAAAGCAACAAATCTCTTTTCTGCCAGTGGTCAAAATAGTATACAGCTTCTTAATGAAATTCTTTGATTTTATTTATTGTATGATAATGAGTCATGCCCAGAATTTGATGTTGGTCCCAGTTTATCATATGGTTTGTTTTGTAATTATGTTCTGTCAATGATGAATTTTCCAAATGTGTCAGTTTTGCTGCATCCTTAAGTTATTTTAGTCTTTGTTGTATGGTTGACCTGTTTCTCAAATGTTTGAAATGAGATATTTTTGTTTTAACTTATTGATGGGTTGTTTTGGAGGGTCTTTTTTTTAGATTTGAAAACAAAAAATTATGTTGAACTCGTTTTATAATCTCTTGAGTTTCTTGACATTAAATTACACCAACCAACAATTAATTGAGACCATGGGTTTGACATCAGCCTCGTCTCTAACCAAACTTCATAGAATGAATGATGTCACACAACACACTACCAGATATTCCTACTCACACAGGGAACTAAGTATACAGGAAGAAACTCTTATTACAGGGCCCTGTTATCCAACAAAAACACTCACTTGAATCTCAATCTAAGAAAAGCCTCAGTATTGAAGCCAAAGCATCTTCCTGCTCTAGATACAGTCCAATAGAGCTAAAACTCTACTATTTATAGCTTTGATAACATTTAACTTATAACGTACTCTCATGTTCCTTATCTACACAAGTAAAAGGTTTGGGTAATTTTATAGAAAAATAAGTACAGCATTGAACTTTATCACTAAAAATACATTCCACAAAGTGCTTGAAATGAACATTTAAACCATTAAGTCTGTTCTAGTACTTAAAAATCTGCTAGTTACCAGATAATTATATTCTATTAAAGAAAGTTCTTGGTTAAAAAAACATTAAACTTAAATCTAAGTCAAACACTTTAAAAAGTTGTATTTGGTAAATACTAGCAAATTTTACTCAGAAATGAATAGAATGAATGTACAATCTATTTTTAAAATACATATAAAAACTATACAATCCAGTCTATACTTAGAACAGATTTATTCAAAAGAAGATCAGTCTTCATTTACGTGTTTAAAAGAATTAGATCCAGTCTACATTTACAGTAATTTTATAAAGAATTAGATCCAGTCTACATTTACAGTAATTTTATAAAGAATTAGATCCAGTCTACATTTACAGTAATTTTATAAAGAATTAGATCCAGTCTACATTTACAGTAATTTTATAAAGAATTAGATCCAGTCTA